TTTTTTTGGCCGTTACGCGCTATATAAATTAATATTTTAACAATAATAATTGAAAAGGTACCATATTTTGAAAACATGTTTTTGACGTAAAATTTGACGGAGAATGCGATAAAAATACTAAAAACTTGATTCGTTTTGGGGGCGTTTGTTAAAAATCGATTTAAACAATTAAATTGTTAATAACAATATAAATTTGTTAGTATTTTTTGTAAAAAAAATTTTTTTCCTACAGTTCAGTCCTTCAGCTACAAAAGTGCAATTGGTGAAAATTTTGTAGCTCTTAAAGATTCGGACCTATGGATTTATGAAAATGAGTCTCCAAGCCAAAAAACTTGCCATTCTCAAATGTTCGATCACTTGTATTATCGAAAATATGCGAATAAAAAAAAATTCCTCGGATACGTATCTCTTTTTTTTCGACATAGAATCCGTAAAAAAAGTTTCAGTCAAATCGAAGAGGTGTCGATCAGACAGGTGTTCGATTTGTAAAAGAATTACCCATAACCTAAGAATAGAGATATTATTCTTTGACATCATGCTCTGTCAGTAACAGGAAGACGTAAATTGTCATTAAAACTGCATGAAAAATGGAACATACTTCATATAAAATTAGTATAACCTACCATGCAAACTGCGAGAATAATGTGGTTAAAGTCATTAGATTAATAAAGTACCGCGAACTGCCATTTTGACTCTATAATCCTCGGTTAGGGGCTCCGTATAATAAATGAAACAAGGAACAAAGAGCAGAGAATAAGAATTTTAACCTATCAGAAATCATGTATTGTGGAATACACACTTTCTGATAGGTTGAAATTCTTATTCTCTGTTCTCTGTTTCCTGTTCCTTTTATTATACGGAGTCTCTTATTCAAAACTTCAGCCTCTTTTACTGTGGTTTTTACAATTTTTAACACAGCAACCGGGCATTTTTGATAATAGAATCAGGTTTTTTTTTCTTCCAGACTCCTGTATGGATTTTCGATCTTTTAACAGAATCAGGTTAGAATAATACTTCGACGCCATTTTAACTCTAAATGCTAAAGGTCTGAGCACAAGAATTGTCATAACACTTAGAGACTTAAGTTGTAGATGTAAGTAACGCACAAGCTTTAGCGTATAACGTACGATTTATTGCCGTTTCTTGGAGAGACGGTAATAAGTTGTACGTCATACGTGAAAGCTTGTGTGTTACTTACGTTTACAATTTAAGTCTAACACGCATTCTACAATAAACCATTAGTTATAAATCAGAAGTTAGAAGCTAGAAAATAGAAATTGACCAATCACAGTTGTCAATTTCCAACTTCTAACTTCTGATTTATGACTAATGATTTATTAGAATGGCCTAACATTTACTTAAGCCCATAGCACATATAAAAACATAAGGCTGTAAGACGTAATCAGTAAGCGAATTGCCCAATCACAGTAGAGACCGTAAGGCCAGTAGCAAATCCAATCTTACGATTTCCTTACTGCTTACGTGTTACGACCTTACATTTTTGTGGCATAAACTTTATGTGGCACATAAATCAGAAGTTAAAAGTTGAAAATTGATGACTGTGATTGGTCAATTTCCAGCTTCTAACTTCTAATTTATGATTAATGGCTTATTGTAGAATGCATATTACGATTCTTGTGAATTTTCGTGACTAGCGCCTAAATCTATATTTCGGTCAAATACATTTAAAAATTTAATTAAAAATGTTTGGAAGACTCACAAATGTTTTTAATGTATAGTATTGCTTCATAACTCTTTATACGAATTACAAACGATTCCGTATAAGAATGTTGTTTAATTCACCTCCGGTTAATTTTTTCGGCTAAATATACATAAGTAAAAATGATTAATTAATTACAATTAATTAAATGACTCACAAACCTTTTCAGCACTTCAAAACTATTCATACGAAATACAAATTATTTAAATTAGTAATTTTTACAACCGGAGGTTTTATTTGGTCATGTATATTCGAATCATAACTTCGAATTAAAGTGAATTTTAATCGATTAAAACTCGCCTTAAGGATAAGTTTACTGCTATTTCTATTTCTGTTAGAGTATGTAGTTCTAAAGTAGTATCCTGATTAGTTTAAGTTTACATCTTAAAGTTACTGTTACAGAAATTTAGTCTGCGACAGGCTAATGGATTCCGCCCTATGTCAGTATAGAAAAATTAATGTAAGTACATAATAGGGAGAAACTTGAAGATAAATTTTCTGTCGCCATTTTCTGTCTAATGAAGCGATTGTCTTTTCTTTATTCGCATTTCACTTGAATTTATGAAATATTATATTACTGATACGCTAGAGTTATTAAATTCTTCATTGAATATTTTTCATTTCGCTGAAACTGCATCTTAAAATTGTAATACAGACAAATAATTTAAGATAAATATCGGAGCATCCAATGTTTTCCATTATGATTGCGACTGATTTGTGTATGGTGAACAATGGCCTAGTTTTCACCGAGGGTTTAAATCGGATCAGGATCCCTATTCTTGAAAAGAAACTATACGAAAGTCTAGGGAAATACTACAGTATATGTTATGTATACTATAGTATTTTCCTAGAATTTTGTATACGTTTCTTTTCAAGGCTACATTTCTTCCTCTCCGAGGAAGATTTTATTTTATAGGATATAGTATATGTTACGTGTACTATATATTTCGAGTAAAATTTTTCTCGGAGAGGAAGTTTTGAAACATAGCCCAAGAATAGAGGTCCAGAATGTAAGAACCAACCAATTACAGTCGAGCATTTCCTTGTCGTTCGACTGTAATAGGAGAATACTCGACTAGTTGATTGGTTCATACATTCTGATTCGTTTTAAATCCTCGGTGGAAACTAGGCCAGTGATGAATGGTGGTGAACGCCGTGAATGGATTACGGATGGCGTAATGCGTATTGAGTGGAATGGATTGCGCATAGAACAGAAGCCAGCAGAAATAGAAGAGAAACATCATCAAGCGTCATTGCACCGGCGCGGCGGCGCACTTCGTCGTTATTTCGTCTCGTGAAAAAGGAACACTAACCGCGCTGTATCGATTATCCTCGTTTACTTCGTGTGACAAGTTTCCTTTAAAAACAAACACACAATAAGCGAGTAAGAGCAAGAATTAGAAAGAGCCTCAACGCATGAAACAATATCGGCGTCTGTCAGAATTTCATGAGTCTCCGTTCTTCTCGCTTGTGAAAAAATGGCATTCCGCGCGCATAGTAAATTATATTTATAATTCTAATTGAGTAACAATTAACTGCCTATTGCTGTGATTGTACAATGAATCATTTATGACTTATAAGGGAATTGTCGCAAAGATGCATATATATTTTATATTAGAGTTGATACATATAGGTGTATGTGTACAACTTTGACATACATGTAATTTTAGTGTATAGAAGATCATCTTTTTGTGAAATTTATTGTATATCAAAGAGTTGATCAGCAAGTGAGAGCTACAATATGGACTCGGCAACCGAGCTGGAACATATAGAGAAGCTAGCAAAAGAAGCAGAATGCTTAAAAAAACGCTTGGAGGATGAACGACAAAAATTAAACGATATTACACGTAAGCGTAATAAATGATTGATTTATTTGATACTAATCAATATATTCCTTTATATCATGTTTTTCACATTTTGTTTCAGTTGCCAGTGTAGCAGATAGACTTGAAGCAATTAATTGTATAAATGTAAAACCTAGACGTATCTTAAAAGGGCATCAAGCCAAAGTTTTATGTTCTGATTGGTCTCCTGATAAGCGTCATATTGTTTCTTCTTCACAGGTAATTCTTTTCTCAAGCATTTTATTTTACTTGTTATATAAACTATAGTATATATATACATATATATATATATACATATATATATGTATATATATATATTACTTCATTATTTTAGGATGGAAGAATGATTATATGGGATGCTTTTACAACAAATAAAGAACATGCTGTCAGTATGCCAACCAGATGGGTGATGGCATGTGCTTATGGTCCTAGTGGTGATTTAGTTGCATGCGCGTATATATTAATTAATTGTAATAGATCTTAATAAATTTATATATTATAAAAACAAAAATATTAAGTTAGATTTATGATAACTGTATATATTATTTCATATAAATGTTGTAGAGGTCTGGATAATAAAGTTACAGTGTATCAGTTAAGTCTGGAAGATGATGTTTCGGCTCACAAGAAGACTGTTGGTACACATACATCATATATGTCATGTTGCGCATTTCCTAACAGTGATCAGCAGATCTTAACAGGTAGCGGAGATAGCACATGCGGTTTGTGGGACGTAGAGAGTGGGCAATTGTTACAGAGTTTTCAAGGACACTCCAGCGATGTTATGTCTATTGATTTAGCACCAAGCGAAACTGGGAACACGTTTGTGTCTGGTGGTTGTGACAAACTTGTTTTAATTTGGGATATGCGTAGTGGCCAGTGTGTGCAAAGTTTTGAAGGACATCAATCCGACGTTAATTCAGTATGTAATAAATTACATTTTACAATTAAATTATTTGAATATTTTTTCAAACTTTTTAACATTACTGATTGAAAAGTAATTATTATATGAGTCCCTTAGTTGATAAGTAGTATAAGTCCAAAATTAGAAAAAATACGTTTGTTATAGAAGTAGAAAGTATTAAAAATGTTTGTTTTATCTATCCATTAAAATTACTTTTATTTTGTTTTATATTCATAAAAAATAAAAATCAATTTTACATCATAAATAAAGTGATTGTAAAAAAAAAGCTGGATTTAAGTCATTATTCCAGCTTTTTTTATGGTCACTTTATTTATAATGTAAAATTGATTTTTATTTTTTATGGATATAAAAACAAAATAAAAGTAAATTAAATTAATAGATAAAACATTCTTAATATTTTCTATTTCTATAACAAACGCATTTTTCTTAATTTTGGACTTATGTTATTTGTCAATTAAGGGATTCATATTTTTAATTGATATTTACATACTTTCTCTTTATATCTATAATATTTGTGTACACAGGTAAGATTTCATCCAGGCGGCGATGCAGTGGCAACAGGTTCAGACGATGCTACTTGTCGCTTGTTCGATCTACGTGCTGATAGAGAAGTTGCGGTGTATGCAAAAGAAAGTATAATATTCGGAGCAAATGCAGTTGATCTCAGTATAAGTGGACGCTTACTCTTCGCCGGATACAATGATTACACAGTGAATGTATGGGATACTTTAAAGTGTCAACGAGTGGCGCTGTTATATGGACATGAAAATCGAGTTTCATGTCTAAGAGTTTCTCCAGATGGTACTGCCCTATCTACTGGAAGCTGGGACGCAACTTTACGAGTTTGGGCTTAGTTTCATGACAACTACTATTTTAAACATGTTGAGATATTCTTGTTAGACATCACATATTATATTTATTGTTTTATTCTATTTATTTAGAAACTTGTCTTCTGTATGTTATTCATGTTTTTATAATATCAAATATGTATGATGCATTAACTGTGCATTCAATAGCTAGCATGCTTGACTATTCAAAATACGATCCATAATATATAATATATGATGTGATATAACATCGATCAAATTACATGCGCGCACGCACGTACGTACCCACACACACATGCGCACGCACGCCCCCCCCCCCCCACACAACACACACACTTATATATTAGGCTGGTCCTAATTTACAGATAAATTTTAGTGAAAATA